AGTTCCCTATGCAGCCTCCCAGATGTTTGTTTACCACAATAGTACAGAAGAGGGCAGAAGGGGGAAATTTGACCACCATGCATCATGGGAGCCATTTCCTTGTAGTTGGTTATTAATATACCTCTCCTGCTTTTAGAAGTCCATCTCTGCTTGCCTTTTCAGGGGGTTATTAAGATCCTGCTCTCTGGGATACTGTGCTCTGTAGGCAGCAGACTCAGAAACTTGTTTGGCATGAATTAAGCAGCAGAGAAAACCTTTGCTGAGTGAGAGTAACCTGTTACAACCTGGTTTTCTCTAGCCAGATGACCAGCTTCGTCTAGTAGTAATGCCATTACAACATTCCCATTCAGATCCCTATGACCCAGTAATTGTTTTGGGAATGAGTGCAAAGCTATCAGACACCAACTACTATAATTAGAAAAGGGAAAAACAGACACTTACCAGAGCCAACATCTTTAGGCTGGAGCATTTACCACACTTTTTTTTTTTAAGTTATGTAGCCTCTTTCTCAGTTTTGCTTCCTAAAATACAAATTGTACAGTTTTGGGGTTCTTGCATGCCAGTTTTTTGTTACTGCTATGCACTCTTTCCTTTTCTCCCCCTGTTTTAATCGGAGTACAAATTGCTGTCAGCACATTGAGTTCATGTGCCAGCCACATTCAGAACAGGGTGTTCTGTGCTCTTCAAAACAAAATTGCTCTAGGGCAGTAAGAGAACAATAAGTCAGAACTCCAGTTTAAATGATGTTTTGCAGTGGACCAGGCTCACTTGATGTGGTTACACTCGGATTGCGCAGCTAAGCTTGGGTAATTTGGTTTGGTTTGACTTTGTGGCGTTTATTGGACCTCCCGCCTTTAAGTTACATAGACTTTAAGTTACAAGAGAAAATGTTGTCTCTTTTTAACTTGTTTATTTCTTTCTCCACTGAAAAAGCCCTAAGTAGAAGCATCCTGTATGTTCTTTTATTCACTTTGGGCCACGTCATAGACCATTTACTTTCCATCAATCATGCTGGTTGAGATTAGCAACAGACCTCCTAATCCCTAGAGGCTGAACTCCCAAGTGAGTCGTAATGGTTATTATTAAATATTTATTAAGTGAGTGTTTGCACTAAGAGATACAAGGTCAAAAGCAACCACAGGTCTTCCCCAGTCGGAGCGGCCATGGTTTTCTTTGGTAGCACTTGTTAAGATAATACAAAAGAGTGATGGTCTGGAGAGCTGGGCCTGTCTGCACCCCTCACGTAGAGGGGAGCCCATACTGTGGCAGCGGGCAGTCTCCCATGCCTCCTAGTGGTGTGCGTTCTTATCCACGGCCTTACAGAAGTTGTCACACCAGTGTTCCAGATTTAGAAACCAGGAAAGCAGGCAGGTGATATAGCCTTTGCTGCTTATAGATGTAGGGAATCAGTGGGCTATACACTCCAAAGCTGCAATACCTCCACTTGCTCTCACCTTCCAGATGCCATCAGCATTACAAGGTGGAGGCCTTAGACATCCATGTAAACTGGGCATGTGCACGTCTGCTTATCAGTTTAAGATTTTTGTGTACTATAGCTTGTTCTTGCTCAGGTCCTTCTTTTACCAGGGGAAAAGAAGGTTAGTTGTCCTATAGGTAGTAAGGTTTATAAGAGCTGTGATGTTTTTACCTTCCTATTAGGTGACCACAGATACTGGGTCTGTCATTTATTATCTCAAAGACCAGCTGCAATAAATCTTTTACTTTCTTAATTAATGGCTGTGTTATAAGCTTGACTTTCTCCTGGTTTTTTTAGTTGTTTGTTTGTTTGTTTGGGGTTTTTTGATTGTCTTTCCCAACATGTTTGTTAGTAGCCAGTCTTTGCCCCTCCCCCTCCCAATGATGGGTAAGGAGATGTAAAAGAATCTTTGAAATTATTTATGTAATTTCAAGTACATACAAGCTAAAAACCAGTCTAGGAAACTGACACATGGTCAGGAATTCCTTGCAGAGTCTCTGGATTTCCTGTTTTGAAAACACACTCAAACTTGATCAACCAAAAGCCACAACAAATGTACTGATAATTTCCTCCCCTACTAAATGTACTCTCCTTTAGGGAGGAAGATGATACTTCTAACAATAAACCTCAGACCAAAATAAAATCTGTTTAAGTTTTGACTACTAGGATAATAAATCTCAATACTAGAGACATTACACAATGCGTGGGCTGAAACTCACTTTGCTCAGCAAATTTTTCTTCATGGAAAGTGCCAGTCGTTAGTCTAAACTTCTAAGAACTCTCAACCCCTTTAGTAAATCAGCTTTTACTCCAGAAAATATCTTCAGACTATACTCCCTGCATATATTTGAAAATAATAAAGTTGGGGTGTTCTGTTTTGTTGGCGGTACCGGGGTTCAAACTAGGGGCCTTGTGCTTGCTATGTAGGCACTCTGCCACTTGAAGCACACCTCCAGCCTCTGAATTTACTTTTCAATTTAAAAGTAAGTTTAATGGGCCTTCTCTCATTTGGCCCAAGCTTCCTAGACATCCTGTGTCTGTGCTGGGAGCTAATCAGGATGGTATTGATCCTGATGAGTTAGGAAAAGGTAGAGATCTTTAAAACATAAAAACCCAAGTGACATTTGGGCTATTTGTATCTATACCACTGCACTGCTGTTTACTCTTCAGACTTCTCTCATGTCTCAGGCCTGAGTTAAAGGTAATCTGATCAGATGACTAACCACAGAAATTAACTTTGAAGCTGGTTTCTGCACCATATGGAGAATTATATTACTGGGTCATAGAATCAGAATTTTAGAGCTTTCAAGGAACGTTTAAGATCATACAGTTCAAAAGTACAGGCATGGTGACTTATACCTATAATCCCAGCTCTCAGAGGCTGAGGCAGAAGGATCCTGAGGTAAAGATCAGCCAGGCCACACAGTGAGACTCTCAAAAAAATAAAAAGGAAAAATTTTTTAAAAGTGAAGTAGATTGGAATTGAATTTGCATTTGGAAAATAATCGTTGTCTTTTAGACATGGTATGAATATAAAAGAACAAGTGATCTTTAATCTATAAATCAGGTTATTTATCTAAAGTCGATGAACCAGTCTTTTTTTTTTTTTTAAGGTTTATAATTGCTTTTGTGTTGTTATTGTTGTACTGGGGATACAGTGTGACATTTACCAAAATTCTTATAGTGTATCATAGTTGAATTCATCCCCTCCATTATTCTCCTTTATTTCCCCTCCCCCATTCCTAGAACATTTTCAACAGATCTCATTTTTCCATCTTCATGAATGAATACATAGTATCACCACTAGTCACCCTCCTATACCCTTTCCCTACATCCTCTCTACTCCTGCCAGTGCTAACCCCCAGATAGGACCTGTTTTACCTTCCTGGTCTCCATTTTCGAAAAAAGACATTTTTATTTAAGATAGTTATACAGAGAGTTTCATTGTGACATTTTCATGTATATATGTATTATAACCCAAGTTAGTTCATCCCCTCTATTTTTTTCCTTTCTTAGTCCCCTTCTTATGGTGCCCCTTCTTATGGTGATTACAGTAGGTTTAGAAATATTTGTTCTTGTATAGAAAGTATATTAACCATATTTCATCTTCTTGGCTTCCTTTTTTTACCCTCCCTTTCTCATTAGTGACCTCCCCTTAATGTCTCCTGTTTTTTCATTATATTGCTTAATTTGTATTGGGCCTATATTCCACATATGAAAGAAAACATATGGGCTTTGTCTTTCTGAACCTAACTTCACTTAAGATGATGTTCTCCAGTTCCATCTGTGTACCTGCAGATGACAAAATTTCATTCTTCTTTATGACTGAATAAAATTCCATTGTGTATAAATACCATAATTTTTTAATCCATTCATCAGTAGTGGGGCATTTTGGCTGTTTCCATAGCTTAGCCATTGTGCATAGTGTTACAGTAAACACGGGTGTACAGGTGTCATTATTGTAACCTGACTTAATATTCCTTCAGGTATATGGTATTGCTGAGATCACCCAGTCATGAAGTGTTTTAGAAAATTGCCGTTATAGTTCAAGAAACAAATAATTTTCTTATGAAGGAGAAATTACATTGCTTAGTGATTGTTATACTATTATATAAGCCATCCATTCTTACTGAGTCAGTACCTAAATGGAAAGATATAAATTTCCTTATATTAAAGGTAGTCAGGAGGTTTCAGAAAATTGTTTTTCAGAGAAAAATGAGCCCAACTGATTATATATGTGTATATATATAATACATATATATATATATATATATGTATTATATATATATATCCTATCTTGTCCTAAAATGAGATGAAATCCTCTTATCCAATATGAAGTAACGCTGGAAGAGAGCTGAGTGAATAAGTACTATCCCAAGAAATTAACCTTAGCATGTCACAAGAGGTTATGAAGTAACTGGGTTGTGAAGTTTTAATAAACTACTGATCCCTTATGCTCCACATTCATTACTTCCACTGAGGGGCGCAGCTGACTTAGTGACGGATGTTGTTGCCTTGGGATTTCCACTTTCATTTAACTGTATTTGTGAATGCAGTTAGGACCCTTAAAAAAGAAAAAGCTTCAGTTAACCTGAGTGTGGTATTGGGGAAATAGACACTCATTTGGGTTTTTGCCCAAGCCTCTGAAGCCAAGATGCTGTTACAGATAGTTAAGCCATTATGTTTGATATTTGTGGCATTTTGGTAATTATCCATTTCAGTAATCCAGTATTTGTTGGCCCTGTGTCACAGGTAAGGAAACTGTCACATAGTAGGCCGATGAGCTATCTCACTGCTGCATTTACTAGTAACTGTACATTTAACCTAAACAGGAGGAAATTCCGTTGCTCTTTATCATTTAGACTGAGTGGACTAAGCGTCACCAACATGCAGTGCATGTGTCTCAACGAAATGAATAAGGGGAACTGGGGTGTGCTATGTTGTTGGCCACCTGTCTGTCACGTCACTAAAGTAGCCACCCCTGAGGAGCAGCTTTGTGACTGTCCTGTCTCCTCACCCTCAGTCCACCTGGAAGGCTGCTGTGGTGGAAGGATGTTTGATTGCAGAGATGTGGTGTTCACTGTTGGTGAAGGAGAAGACCACGACATTCCCATTGGGATTGACAAAGCCCTGGAGAAAATGCAGAGGGAAGAGCAGTGTATTTTATACCTTGGACCACGGTAAGCAGCACACAGTTCAGTACACAGTGAAGCTACGTGAGGAGCAGGATATGCTTGCTTTTTCATTCAGCACTTTGGTGTTGCCAGTGTGCTTAGCACAACAGTGGGGACATTTCATTGAGTCAGGGTACAGTTAGCCAAGAGTTATAAACCCTACACTAACACAGGGGTTTGGGAGCTTGCTTACTTAGTTCTTAGGTGGCGTGTGTTAAGGATAGGATTGACAAGCAAGTTTTGCTCTTTTGTTTGTTTGTCTCACCTGCCGCGTTATCAAGTCAGGCAGCTATTGGCCCTTCTCACGTGCCGTTCTCTTGCCCTCTTTTTTCTCTACATACAGCAAGAGGCGGTAAAACATGGGGTGTTGGGCGTGGAAGAAGCACATGGATGATTTTCTGCCACTTGAATTTGTGCCACGTGTTCTAAACAAAGTCCCTGGGAAAAAGAAAAGAAGAAAAGTGTGTTGTGTCCTTCCTGGATCTAAAGGCAGTGGAGATGACTCATTTTTGCCTAAATTTTTCCCATCATAAGGATGTCCATTAGCACTTCCATGCTTAAAACTATCAGACACTGATGGCCTCTCTTGTGAAGACATATTTGGTATTATTTTTAGATCTAAAATTGCACTATAAATCCAAGCCTTCTAACTTGAGAAATGGTCCCTGAGACAAATCAAGGTGTTTTGATTCTGTTTGCATGAAAGTGCATCTGCTTATCTAGTGTGCCCTCCCTCGGGCTCCGTGGATCCCACATGGTGGGATTTTGAGCTATTGAGACTCTTGATGACCTGCCCTTGCCAATAGGTACATTATGCCTTTTGTACCATATTCTGCATTTGTGTCACCTCTGTGGTAATGCAGTGACATTTGTACCTTTGCCTTAGCACTTAATTCATAATCTTATTCTCAGGTGCTGTTTCAGCCGTGCCACTGTCCTCTTGTAAATCCCTCCAAAATTCTCTGCCCTGAATCTTGAAAGCCTTTCCTGAGGCACCTTTCATCTAATCCTTCCTCATTCTCTACCCCATTCCTTTCCACTGCTGTGGTCCCACTTACTCTGTCACTATAAGGTGAAGCTATTTCTATTTCTAGAGAGAACTTGTTTTACTCACTGTCTTCTCCGTATCAGATAATCTCCACTTAACTTTAATGTAGCATTTCAAAACTATAATAGTTCTAAACTCATAGAGAAAGGGTAGAATTTATGTCCAATGTATGTTTTCAAATTTAAGTTCAGTGAGAATAAACTCTTGTATGTACTTGAAGACATAATGAATCAGTTCACTACTTTTTAACCCAGCCAATAAGGCAGTTGTGAGGGGCTGATGTCTAAAATTTAATAGCAAAGACAAACAGAAATTGTCTTTGTATTAATGTTAATAGTTCCTTATGGTGGGGAGGTGACCCAAATAATGTATATACATGTAAGTACATGTAAAAACGATAAAATAAAATTTTAAAAAGTAGTTCCTTACAGGTTTAAACTGTCATATTATTCGTGGTTAAACCCTTCTCTTTGCAGCTTATCAGCTACATGCAGTTGGGCAAGTCATTTAGCTCCCCTAAATCTTACTTAACCTCCCCTTCCATAAGCGAGAATAAGTGTCACCTCTCTAAAGTTGTAGAGAGCTAAATATAGTAATGCAAGTGAAGTACCTGCAGCAAACCAGCCAACGTGGACAAGCCCCCAGTTGATTAGCCATTATGGCTTTTGTGATGGATGGGTATCTTTCTCTTCCATTTTACCCTTACACCACGAGAGAAGTGAAATTGTATTTTAACATATGGTAGATTTTTCAGGCATAAAAGTAGTCTATGTATACAAGTTTTTGCATATGTTTTATGGATATAATTTAGCATAGTTAGAAAGGAACTGTCATTTTCTGTTCAGATTGTTGGTATGTTGAGGAGTTATGCAAAGTATAGTCTCTGCAGTGTGATACTGTTTGCACATTCATTGTGTAATACTGCACATGTGCATAGAAAATCCCTACACAACAAGCATGTTTTGTGTGCATGCAACACATTTACTTGTCATTCAGATTCCCACCCACCAGAGAACATTGCATGTGAGTGTTACAAATTTATGCTCTTAGTGTCATCTGTATTTCATTCTCCATGAAATTTCCAAGGCACACTTTCTGTTTGTCTACTTCACAGAATGCTTTATAATAAGCAATTCACAAGATATTTCCAAAGAACCCATTTTTCTCTCCTTTCATTGGGACAATATCATCCCTTTATATTATTGTTTAAAGCACTGTGACTGACTAATCTTGTTTTACATCAAGTATGGATAGTTTCAACTTTTTTCCCTTTCTTTGCTTATGCTTCTGTCCTATAACGACCCCAAACAAAAACACAGGCTGCCAGGAGTGACAGAACCTAATTATGAGGCAGTGTGAGTCAAAAAAATTCAACAATTTTCTTAGTGCACACAGGGCCTGAATTTAAATTCTAGCTCTGCCACTTTGTGACTTCTCTGAGCCTCAGTCTCTTCATCTGCAAAAAGGAACCAGCTGGTAAGGACTTGTCATGCAAGTGCTTCTTGTATGCACATGAAGGCCTGATGGTCTTTGATAGTCATTTGTATCTGTATGCTCTGGAGGCAAAGGCAACCTAAGGGACATTAATCCTGAATTCCTTGTTACCATAGCCCAGTTTATCTTGGAATTCTGTGTGTGGTGTTTGTGTGACCCAGGTCCTTTTTGCCCAGGCTGAGCTAGCGTAACTAACTTTTATGTAACACAGAGGTCTAAACAGCTGTTCCCACAACAGATTGGTGTGAGTTGATGCCTCCCCAGGGTGATGTGCTCCACCTGTGCCTTAAAAGGATCACTTCATTTTAACCCAGGAGAAACTGTAGCGATGACGTCCTTCTTTAGTCTTTCCTAACCCCACTGATGGCAGCCAAGATGCTCTGGTGCCTCCCTTGACCCAGTCTTTACACTCTCCTCCCCAGTGAGGGCTCCTATTTGTGAGCTTCTCTCAGACAGCTTTCTCACCCTCGGCACCACTGACAGAATTCTTGCAGGTGGGGCCTGTCCTGTACAGTGTAGGCTGTTCAGCAGTATACCTGGTCTCCAGTTGTGACAGCTCAAAATGTCTCTGCATTGCCAAATGCCCCCTGGGAGAGGAAGTGTTAAAGTGGCCCCATTAAGAGCCACCGGTCTAAGTGAATGCCAGACCCTATGTTGCATTTGTCCCTGCTTTGCACAGAACTCCAAATCATAGCATGCCCTTAGCAAACAGATGCTTAGTGAATGCCCACCCGCTTACCTCACCTCCAGTAGGAAAGGAATGCTCTTTATTTACCAAAAGGCAGAAGCAAAATAGGACATAGGTAGAGCTAAGAGCTCCAAGTAGAAAACAAGGCAGCATTGCTTAAAATTAGCCACCAATAATTACAAACTTTTTAAAATTTCTTTGCTTCTGTTAAAGCTACCACACCCCCGTCTTACCAGGTTTCTTTGTATGTCTCCGCCTCTCTCTGCTCCAGCTTCCATTTTCTTGTGTAACCATGGAGGTGAATGGAAATTCAGGCAAGGGGTAAAGACAGTAGTACAAGCAACACAGTGTGTGCATTCCCATTCACATCCCTTTGCCCAGAGATAACTGGAGGTGTTAGCACCAACCCAGCTTTGACATCTTTCAACCATAGCCTGGAAGTTTGGGTTTGCTGCGTTTTTATAATACCACTTCATATGTTCAAGAGTAGTTTGATTAATAGATGAAACAGAACATATTCCAGTGAGCACTTTACTAATGTGCTGAGCACTGTTCCCAGTTCAGGGAACCTATGAAAGCAAACCCAGGAAAGACAGACTCCACTAGTGCTTCCATTCTAGCAGATGCGTGCTTCTTGAAAACATTAAACTTGTTAAAGATCTAAAATGGTCCTAAAAAACAAGCTTTCGTATCCCTAGTTTGTTTTAGTCAGTTTTGACTAAAAGGTACTGCATTTACAACAAAATAGCTACAGAGATATAAGAGTATGTCTCTTGATGAGGTGCTGAGGCTGCTATTTTTTATTATTTATGTGTTATATTATTTGTGTTTCCTAGTGTGCCTTTTTAAAATCTTAAATACTGTGAGAACATTTTTCTTTCCTGATGGGTCTTTCCCCACATTTGTTTGATTGGAACTGATACTAAAGTGACAGCACTTGAAAGTTTAAAGCTTAGGGAGCCAGGTGTGCTGGTGCACATCTGTAATCCCAGCTACTCAGAAGGCAGAGGTAGGAGGATAACAGTTCAAGGCCAGTCCAGGCAAAGTTAGTATAAAATCCTATCTGAAAAACAAAATACAAGCAAAAGGTCCAGGGCTGTGGCAGAGCACTTACTTAGGAAGCTGGAGGCCTTGAGTTCAGTCCCCACTGCAAAAAAAAAAAAAAAAGTGAAAAGCTTATTGAAACATACCTTTAAGGAGGGCTGGTGGAGTGGCTCAAGGGGTAGAATGCCTGCCTTGCAAGCACAAGGCCCTGAGTTCAAACCCCAGTACCACCAAAAAAAAAAAAAAAACATACTTTTTAGGAGTGCCACTGTACCAGTTACATGGCTGTGTCTCTTCTGTCCTTGCCATTGATAAGATTTAGGGGGAAAGTCCTAATGGCCAAAAGAGAACAAGGTATAATATCAAGCAGAGAAAAAGGCAGTGACACTCTGAATCTCATTAAGTAGTACAGGTATTGTATTACATGTGTCAGAAAGGGAAAAAAAACCAAATAGAGCCCAGTTCCTAAGAAAACTACAGTGATGAAACTTGGCACTGTGTCAGTTTGTCTTCAGGGTCTCTGGTGTGTGTAGTTTGCAAATGATAGCTCTATGCTGATCTGATGCCTCACAATACTGAAGGAACTGCCTAGAGATACACCAATTCTTTTAAAGTTTTACTTTTTACTCTCCATTTCAGATATGGTTTTGGAGAGGCAGGGAAGCCTAAATTTGGCATTGAACCCAATGCTGAGCTTATATACGAAGTTACACTTAAGAGCTTCGAAAAGGTGAGAAAATACCAACTCCTCTAAAATCGTGGTACATTTCCTCTTCATCCACTTCCTTTAACTATAGTACTAGGTGGTGTAATAGGCAGTGTTTATTTCTGTGCTGTGCCTGTCATGATCAAGTTGTCTCTTGTCTCCACATGCAACCATGGGACAGCTGACACAGTGCAGCTGATGCACAACCAAGGAGCTCGTGTTCTTATTTTGTTCCTATGTGTCAGACTTTTTTCTTTTTCTGTTTTTTTTTTTTTTAACTTTTTTGGGTAGAATCCAAGACTTGTTCCCTTATTTGTTCCTAGACTTGTTCTTTTTGTACTTTTTTTCCTGGGTTGAGGACAAAAAGGTTCACATACTGCCAAGCAGCTCCTTGGGGGAGTGGGGCTCAGCTTTTCAGTGCTGAACGGATTGTACCCTTCACAGGAGTCACGAAGAGGCCTGTGACTCAAACTTATGTTCCCAGTGGTCAGAGCTTGGTTGCTGCCAGTCCATTATGACCAAGGATACAAGAAAGAAGCCTGCCATTCCTAGGCATTTTTGCATACCTGTCCAAGTAGAAAAGAGAGGGAATTCATCAGTTGCCTTGGGTGGCAGGAATGGTGTGCCCCTGGACATATTCCAACTCTACCTCTGGCAGGGCACGCCCACCCCTCCTGGACTGACTGTGGTATTCCTTTCTCATTCCTGCACAGCACCACCACATCCGTGTTCTGCACATTAAGCTTCCGGCTAGAAGTGTGACTGTTTATACTAACTAGACTCCGAAAGGAAATTGTTGCCCTGTGGGTCTGTCACAGGGCTAAGAAAGTTAGGGGAGGGCGGTTTTATGATACATCCCTTAATAATGTTCCTACTCGTACCCCTCCCACTTCATGTTCTCCCAAACACATGCGTGCCCTTGTCAGATCATCACTTATTGTCGGGTAACCTTTTAAAGGCCTGTTAGCTCAGCACCAATCCTTCTTAGCCTCGTGAGTTTTATTGTTAAGGAGGGAGAAAATCATCATTAGCACATGTTTAATTTAGCCCTTTAGCTTTCCTGTTTCCATTTTTATAGAAGAACCCTCTGCCCCTTCCCAGATAATTTATTAACATTCTCACTGGCATGCCATAGTGAGCCTGTGCTGTCAACACTCCATGAATGTGTTTATGCAGCACTGCTAGACATATTCACACACATGATAGCGTGTGGTCGTGTTGGAGGCAGCAAGATTTTTATTCTCTGCCTTGGAGTATTAAGACTACATTTGTACTCCTTAAAGATTAAAGTCAAAAGCTGACATGGTGGTGCATGCCTGTAATCCTAGCACTCAGGCTGAGGCAGGAGGATCGTGAATTCCAGGCCAGCCTGGGCTACACAGAAATGCTGTCTCAAAAAAGACCAACACCAACATGAAAAATGCAAAGTTTCCTTATTAATTAGGCTTTTAAATAATTGGGCTGAATTGTAAAGAAGCAATATGGATTGCCAGAAACACAAGTATCCCCCTCACTCACGTAAAGCAGGGGCAGAGGTAGCTGCAGCACCAGGAACACACACCAATTGTCTTTTGAACAGAGTTTTACAGTTACCCACTTAAACTTCCTAATTCACACGCACTGAGTAGCACCACCCACTCCTACTCGTAGCTTCCCTAAAAGACCCTCGTAAGCTTTTGACATCATGATCCTAAATCCAGCTGTTCATAGGGAAGTGCGGTTGTTTCTGGGTTTGTATCTGTAATGGAGAGAGTAGGATCCACGTAATACACACTAGTAGATCCTAAAGAAGTCATTTATTTATGGCTCTGAAATGGTACCTTTTGTATACATTTCCCCAAGTATACATCTGCAAGTTGATGCCGTTTAGATGTCATAGTGTATCTCGCTGTTTAAAGGCCATAGTGTATCCCACTGTTTTAGAGACAGCTGTCTGACCTGGAATTTTGAAAATTTCGTATGAATCTACATCCATGACTTGACTACAGGTAACATTCCCATTTAGAGTTGAAAAACTGAGGCTTAAGAGAAGGTTTGCTAAAATTACAATAGCAGTTCAGTGGAGAGGTTTTACAGAAGGGAAATAAGGGGCCCTCATCTTCACCCTGTGGCCTCACCTTATCGTTGTAAAGGTGGGTGCCCTCGCTTACGGTGCTTAGGAGTTTATGTCCCTTGCTGTGCTCTGCCCTCTTCAACCCCTCAGGCAACGTGGGTCAGCAGTAAAAGAGCACTAGCCCAGCGGTGACCTGACCGTGGCACTCAATTTGAACAGCCAGTGTGTTTTGAGTTTGGGTATCCTGTAGAAGTAGCTGCTACTTGTTCATCAGGGCATCAACTGATGCTCTCTTCCTCCTGTGCTCATCTAACCATTGCCACAAATTTACACACAGGCCAAAGAATCCTGGGAGATGGACACCAAAGAAAAACTGGAGCAGGCTGCCATTGTCAAAGAGAAGGGAACTGTGTACTTCAAGGTGTGTGAGTCCCTGTACAGTGCTTTCCATGTCAAAGAATTTGCAAAAGTGTTCATGTTGTGCTGATAGTCCCTACTCTGAATTCTGTCAACACCCTTCCTGGTAAGAATAAGCCTGGATTTTTATAAGTCTGCTGTTTTCAGTATGAGGAATGGTGAGGAAAGAATGAATTAATTTGAAAAAAAAGAATCCAGACACTTTTTTTACACCTTGTAGTCTAAATTATACCCTTCCATAAAAGCTTGTCTCCCTCCACTGGATTGCTCAAGGCCTAAAGCACCTTGCCTAGTACATAGCTGGCATGCAGCAACTGTAGAGTGCAAGCAGAATGAATGGAGTCATTGTTAGCAGGTGATCAAATCCACACAAGGAAGTTTCACATCATCTTCCTCTCTGCTGTCCTGTTGACAGCAGAGGACATGTGACGACAGGAAAGAACATACACAGGTTTCTTTTCTTTGTTCAAAACAAAGTTTATTGAGGGTTGGGTAACACTTCCCAAGGTATTATGTTGCGTTTGCTTATATGTAAATGCAGCCAAGATGATCATTCCCTTCACCTGCTTTAATACCTTCAGCTGAGAAAAATGAATTCTCCTCTTACTCAGTAGAAGCAGCGATTGTCACAGCAAATGTCCCCAAAATCTTTAACAACTGTTTAAAATAAATTTTATCCAGAAATATATCAGTACTTATCAACATTGTACAATGTCAGCTAGTGATGCCAGCCACGTACTCAGAAAGCCTCCAAGGCTGGAGTGGCTGATGCAGGGCCTGGGACTGCCACACAGCTTTCAGAGGACCTGGAGGAAGAAAGGACAGCACTGCTGGTAGCTGCACAGTCCCTGCCCACTTGCTGTTAATGAGCCTTCAGAAATTCCCAAGTGACATTAACCGTACAGAAACCCTTTTGTGAAACACCTAGGAATGGGGTACTTATCCCAGAGATCCTAAGCCCTTGGGTAGAATCAAAAAGAAACCATACTACAGTGGGCTGTAATCAGAGAGCTCTACCAACTGCCTGCCCACCCCCAAACAGATGTCTTTCTCCATACCAAGGAAAAGGCTTAGCAATGAGGACAGTTAGACAATGGGAGATTGCTTTTCTTTCTTGCCACTGTAATCCATGAACAGAAATTGGCGATGTTTTTCAACAGTATAAAGCAGTGGTGCACAAATATGCTGTAAGAAGTCTTGTGGAGTAGGTGCTACAAGACTCACGGTTGCATTTACAGCAGTGTTGACCTGAGTAACCAAGTAAGAGTGTGCAGTCCACACAGCAGAGAACAACCAGCACAGACAGAGAGCAGCATGTATTGGTTGATTTTTAAACTTTAAGCTCAGACTTATGTTTGGGCCTGAAATCAATTTAGTAGGTGCATACGACAGTATATAACAAGAATAAGTTTTGTTGCATAAAACTTTTGTTTACTGTGAGTGAGTATTGGATTGTAATTTAAAACATGTTTCTTACAGTGGGTTGTAGGCAAATCTGAAGGCCAGAGGTTTTATTTATATGTAACAATTACGTATACTAAGGCTCACCAGAAAGCCTGTCTATACACCCCTATGGGTAGTATAATGAGTGCTCCTGTTGAGAATTTGGAAAATTGGGCTGTATTGCTCCTCAGAATGACTCAGAGTCACTTAAGGGCCAAGTAGATTTTATTTTCATGGTGAAAAGTGAAAAAGTTACACTAAACGACCCCTAAATTTCTGTGAATTTCTAAACTCATGAGAGCAAGTTTGATTTTTGTTAATTCTAATTGAGATATATTGGATATTTCTATATTATTTAAGATCCAAAAGGATTATTTATATACCAAATACAACAATACATTATAATAAAAAAGAAAGGATTCTATAAAATCCTTTAAGACCATAGTTAACACCAAACAGTGTTTCCTATATTCCTGGAATCTGTAAAAGTCTTTACTGGACTGGGCATGGTGGGTCACGGCTGTAATCCCAGCTACTTGGGAGGCCCACAGTTCAAGACCAGCCTGAGCAAAAAGTTAGTGAGACCCCATTTCAATCAGTAAGTCAGGCACAGTGGCATTTACCTGTGGTCTCAGCTACTCAGAAGGTAGAGATCAGAAAGACTGTAGTTTGAGGCCAACCTGGGCAAAAAGTTAGTGAGCTCCCATCTCAGCAAACAAACCTGTCATGGTGACTAAGGTCTATGAACCCAGATACACCGAGGGCATAGGTAGGAGGGTTACAGTTCAAGCTGGCCATCAGCAAAAAACATGAGAACCTATCTGAAAAATGAAGCAAAAAAGGGCTAGGAGTATGGCTCAATTTATAAGACCACCTACCTAACAAGCACAGGGCCCTGAGTTCAAACCCCAGTATCACCAAAAACAAATGAAAGACCTTGTTGTATAGTCATGTACCATATAACATTTTGGTTAACACCAAACCACTTCTATGACCGTGATTCCATAAGATTTTAATGGACTGAAGAATTCCTGTTGCTTGTGATATCGTGGCTGTCCTCATATCATGGGGCAAGACATTACTCACACGCCTGTAATGATGCTGGTGTGAGCAAGTCCTCTGCTGCACTGGAGATGTACAAGTACAGCCCTAGTACACACATCGTCTCAAGCACTTGGTGGCAGTGAGTTCCTGTTACTGGTTTAAGTACTCGACTATACTTTTATCATTATCTTTGCGTGGACTCCTTTAAGTTAACTATAAAACAGCCTCAGTGGCTCCCACAGGATTCCAGAAGAAGGTGTTGTTATCACAGTGGGTGAAAGACAGCTCCTGTGCATGTGATTGCCTACAGACCTTCCAGTGGGACAGATAGAGAGGTGGAAGACAGTGATCCTGATGGCTGTGACCTGGTGAGCCTAGGCTATGTGTGTGTCTTAGTTAACAAAAAAAGTTTTTAAAATTTTAAATACAAAAAGATGTACAGGTTAAGGATATAAAGACTTGTACAGCAGTTTGATATGTTACATTTTTAGCTAAGCTATTACAAAAGAGTCGAAGTTTTTAAAAATAAATTTATAAAGTAAAAAAGTTGCAGTAAGCTAAGATTAACTTATTATTGGGGAAAGAAATAATTTTATAAATTTAGTGTAGCCTTAGTGTGCAGTGTTCATAAAAGTCTCCAGTAGACAGAAGAATGTCCCAGCATATAGTCAGGCCTCACTCACTCATGGACGTCCAGTCCTGCCCTATACAGTGCACCATCTTAAAACATTTTATTCTGTATTTTTACTGTGCCTTTGGATGTCTAAACACATAAATACCATCATGTCACCGTACGGTGGTCAGTACAGTAGCATGCTGTACAGGTTTGAAGCCCAGGAGCAGCAGGCTGTGCCATAGAGCCTGAGTGTGTAAGGAGCTGTGGCACCTAAGTCTGTGTAGGTTCTCTGTGGTGTTCTCACAGTGATGTAATCACCTATTGCCTGGTTTCTTAGGATGTATCCCCATTGTTAAGTAGGGTGTGTCTGTACATAATTCCCCAAACTCCTAAGTAGAATATTAACAATTTGAGGGAGGGGTTGAGGCTTTTAGCATTTGACTAGAATTATATCAGTATAGCATAGCAGTTCAGCTAATCAGAAGTCTTAATTGGTTGCTGATGACACATAACTTTGGAGAACATTTTTGGGAATGAACTAATGTCATGAAACCATCCTGAGCATACACAGAAATGCTGAAATTGGTGGCTGGTAGCCAGGAACTGAGCTTATGTATCTGTGCAGAGATTTACCTTTGTTCCTTATGAGCATCACCCAGAAACCATGATTGTATATTCCATAATATTACCTGCTTTAAATTACTGACCTTGGGATATAAATCTGCATGAGCTGTTGCACATATGGAACATATTATTTTTAACATGCAATTTGACAGACAGGATCTTTCAAAACATTAATCCTTTGGGGAAAATGAACGAAGGGTTCAAAACCACTGACCTAAGACTTTTCTCCCAGAATGTCTCGAACATTTTGTACTGCTAAAAACTTCCCTGCAGGCACCTTCCTAATTATAGGTGAAAGATCCCAGCAGTGATGGTAGCTTTAGCTGTAAGGCTTCAGGACATTTGGGAGGTAGTTTCCAGTACACAGTCCCATCCCTTTGCACCTTTCAGGGCAGGTTTTAATCTGCCACACTGCTTTGTCAGGCCGCATCTTTCCAGGGTATTTGACTTGGCATGTCGTGCATATGCACAGAGTCCAGGTGTGTGGGTGAGAGCAGAAGGAGGCTGCACTGAAGATCCACATTGCATGCCATCATCGAGCTCCACTTTCACGGGCCTGGCAGTTTGGTTTACAGCTAAGAGGGCAAAGTCTCTCCACTCAGTGGGGCTGAATTGCACTCCACTTTTAAATGAGAACAATTGTACTGTTTAGACTATAAAACCTCATTTCAGCTTCTAAATGTTTAATGAATGCTATTTGGCTTTGAAAATAATTATTAAGCACAGGTAACAACATGATATGCTAGGCATTGTGCAAACAAGTTAAGTAGACAAGATTTTGCCCTGCAAAAATCTGACAGTATCTGCAGGACAAGAAAGAGCACTATCTGGCATACCTGATTAGTGTTTTTTCTTTTTTGACTTGGCGGCATAGTTTGAAGTCCAAGAATGTGAGCTGATATGGCGTTCTTGCGCCCCCTTGTGCTCCTTGTGAAGAAACATCTAGAGCTAGCTAGTTAGGGCTGATTGATTGTTCAGCCACTGAGGCTTTTCAGACAAACCAGATGCTAGTAGGTCCTGACTACCCTTGCTGACCAAGAGTTTAGTAATACAGTTTAGACACGAGTCATCTATGAATGTAGGATTTGGGGTTAAAATGCAAACAAGCAAATATAAAAAGAGTTCACATTGTATAGCCCAGGCACAGTGGCTCACATCGGTAATGCCAGCTACTCCTGAGGTGGAGATCAGGAGTAGTTGATTTGGTTTGTGGTTTAAGGCTAGCCTCAGGCAAAAACACAAAACCTTATCTGAAAAATTATTAAAGCAAAAATGAACTGGGGGTATGTCTCAAATGGTAGAGTGCATAGCATGAGGCCCTGAGTTCAAACCCCTGTTATCACCAAAAAAAGGAGCAGCAAAAGAAGAGTTCAGGCTGACTTTTTTTTTCCTTCATTCTTTTAATGTGGGATTTTTAAGCCTGAGCACCATTGACATTTGGAGTTGGATAATTCCTTGTTGAATAATTCCTTGTTGTGGAAGCCCTAGTCAGGCCCCCCCTATTTTTTATTTTTATTGTCAAATGATTGTTGTATTTGAGGTATATTGTGACATTTACTGGAAACGATTAAGATGTCTGTTATTTGGGTTTTTTTAGACATCATGACTTTCCATCATTCTAATTACCCAGACATATTAAGGTGATAAGATGGAGGTCTTTGTCCTCCATGGCTCTTTTCTCTCAATATATTAAGATAAGTCAGAAAAGTTAATAGGTATGTTAAAGATGGAAGAAGAGAGAAAGAAGTAAGTAGTCATGACAGGGAAATGAGATAACCCCTTCCTTACCTGCACCTCCATCTTTGCTCCCAGTGATAGAAGAAGCTTTGATACCATGGTTATATTCTTTTGACTTCAGTGATTAGTCAGCAAACCTTTATTAAGGGCCTTTTCATGCAAACCCTGGATTTCCACAAAGGATAGAGCATGCTACCACAGACTGGGTGGCTTAGAGAATAGGCATTTACTTCATAGCTTGCAACATCAGAAGTCCGAAATCAGATGGCAGCAGAGTCAATGCCTGTGCCTGTGGGTGGGAGAGGGAGGAAGTAAGCACTCTGATATTTCTTCTTACAAGGGCAGTAATCCCAACATAAGGGCCTCACCCTCATGACCTCATCTAAGCCTGATTATTTCCCAAAGACCCATCTGCAAATGTCAGCACACTGGGGTTTAGGTCTGCGACATGTGAGTCTGGGGTGGGGGAAACAATTTAGTTCATACTAAGTATAATTTCCTTAAGAATTTCTGCATTTATAATGAAAGGGCCTGGCTTCTTATTAAAAATAACCTGTACCACAACTTTCTGAGGCAGAAAAGTTATGGGCTTTGATTTAGTTCCCTTTCCTGCATAGCACCTCTACATGCTTTTATACTGCCTTCCTACAGCAGAGTTGATGAGCTCTGAGTCTTCCCGTTCCTAAGTAAGTGACTTGTGAAGAAGGTGCTCTAGGTGTGTAGTAGAGCCCCTGTCAGGCCCAGGTCCTCCACATGAAAGTCTGTCCATCATCACCACCAGAAAGTCCACAGCAGGGCTTCCTCCACTTCTTTGACATCCAGACCAGGGACATTCTCTTAGACATGCTCCTTTTTCTATTACAGGTTGAAGGCCGGAGTGTATGTGGGCAGAGAAAACTCACTGCTTTGAGTGTAGTAAATCGGAGTGACATAGTCTTAACACTGTTCACTAGTCATACATTGGATTTAATATCCAAATGGGTCTGGCTGCTCTTCTGCCATCTGGTATGATGTGTCATCTCTGTTCTCAAGCTCATAACCACCTCCTGCAAAGGAGGTTCCTCATCTGCACTTTTTTTTGCATTCACCTTACAATAGCAGTAAGCATGTTGTTTCAGCCCTATAAAAAAAATTGCATATATATGTATATATATTATTAGGTATATATATTATTAGGCAAGAGAGCAGGACCAAGAGGTAGTGTGTGCCTGTAATCCCAGTTACTCTAGAGACTGAGGCAGGAGAAACACAAGTTTGACATCAGCCTCAGTAATGTAGCAAGAGCCAATCTGAAAATATAAAAAAGAGCAGGGTGGGGGAAGGTGTAGCTCAGTGGTAGAGTGTTTGCCTAATGTGTGCAGGACCCTGGGCTTGATCCCCAGAATACGAGTGGATGATTTTTCTTGCATAGTTGACTGATACTTCACTTACTTTGTTTTATAGTTGTTACCTTACACTGGGGGCTGCTAGTCAGTTAAGTATATTCCCATTGCCTACAGATCTACACACTATGGCCCCTGGCCCTCTGCCTATTTTGTAAGATTTTACTAGGACACAACCAACACATTTTTATTTATTTTGTCTGTGCTTTTTTACACTACAAATGACAGAGATGAGCAGAGAGAGTCTGGTTTAGAAAGCTCAGGTGTCCTGTTTGGGACTGGCAATATTTACTGTGCAGTGCTGAATGCCAGGAAAAGAAAGAAAGGTAATTTTTTCTTCTGTCAACTAAACTACTCACCACCCTTTTGAAAGGCTGATGAATATTAGCGTCAAAGAATGTAGTGCAGAGTCTGGATGCCACCTGCTGCCAGAGTGGATGGCGTGCCGGACGACAGCATTGTACAGTGCTGCAGCACCACCATGCCAGCTGCAGGTTGCTGGGGCCTCTGCAGAAGTGGGAGGGCATGGAGCATTGCCACCTGAGAACAGCCAAAGCCAGACTGGCTCATTTGCAGGGCTATTCCATTGAAGATTTCGCTCTCTGAGGCAGGGCCATGCTACTCGTCCAGAGTGCAGCACATTTAACTACTAGCTTTTCTCTCCTAGGGAGGCAAGTACATGCAGGCAGTGATTCAGTATGGGAAGATAGTGTCCTGGCTAGAGATGGAATATGGTTTATCAGAGAAAGAATCGAAAGCCTCTGAGTCGTTTCTGCTTGCTGCCTTTCTGAACCTGGCCATGTGCTACCTGAAGCTCAGAGAATATACCAAAGCTGTGGAATGCTGCGACAAGGTGAGCTGGTTCTGTGAAGTGGACTTCTGGTAGTCCAGGTCATGTTTTCCATCTCTACATGGACGATTTCTGCTTCCTCCAGACAAAGCCTCATTTTGCTTTGTTCTATTTATTTATATGTTTGGGATTGTTTGTTTCTCAATACGAATTGGGAAATCCAGAAGGATTTTGTTTGCAGTCAGACTTTTTTGATACCTGGACTATTTCTATAATACATTATGAATAAAAGTTTTGATATAAAAAAAAAATTAAACCTTCCTTACATCTAGAGTTGACCTTCCCTTCTACCTATGGTATTTGGTATCAGAGTAAACATATAACCCATCAGGTTCACTTTTTAAACAGCAGATTGAACTCAAGTTTTTCAGGACTTCAACAGACTGCAACTGCCCATAAAAGCTGTTTGTTTACCTAGGCACTTTTCATTATATTCCTACTGAATATACAGAAGTAGATGGAGAACCCCACAGCCCTCTCTGGTTCATGTTTGTGTTGTTGACTCTGTTTCCCAGTCCTCGAGTAGTTGCATAGGTATCATGAGTACTGTCCTGACATCTGTACAAGCCCGCTCATGCTGACTTAGGCAGAGTGAATGCTGGGGATAAAAGTTAATGATTGGATGCATCTTAAAGATAGACATAAGTGTGGAGAAAAATAAAAGCATTCTTTGTAAGATTACTTTATAGTTTTGTGGATTCATATTTCCTGTCACATTACACTAAATTTTTGCCTAAGAAAGGAATGTTATTAATTATACTTTTAAAATTTTGTGTCTTTTTTTTATTATAAAAGTAATACAAAGTTATTCAGAATTCAGACATAGAAATATGTAAGAAAGTCCATCCACAAAATTCCCATTGGTCCTCTCTTCCAAGAGCAGTCATTTATTTTGTACATATTTCTTACTTATATCCATATATGTGCATATATTTTTAATGAAAATATGTAGATTTAGATACACGTCATTTTATGAAACAAGGGTATCTCCACATCTGATAAGTCATCATCTAGCTCTTGCTCATTGTTTTTAAGATTGATAGTGCATCTTTTTAAGATCCATTATATGTATCTATCATTTACCCAATTCCCATTGGGAAATTTTCAGGTTTTAGGTTTTCTTATATTGTAAGTTACATACCCAAGCTGGCCTAAAAGCCCTATGTAGCCCAGGATCCTCTTTTCATTGTAATCTTCTGCTGGAATTACATGTGTATGCCACACTACCTTTGTCATTTTTCTTTTTGTGAAATATTAATGGCAACAAAAAATTCTTATTTTTGTTTTTCTTGTTTACTAATGAGATTTTACATCTTTCCTTTCTTCACCATACACATTTGTAATTCTTAGATGAATTGCCCCTTTTCATCTCTTCAGTAGATTGTCCTGAGCAATTCTATTGGTTGAAGCGATCATCATATGGTATCATTGCTAACCCTTTGTCTGATAATAGGAAGCCTGTTCTCCTCACTTGTTTTTCTCTAAACTTTGTTGATTGCTTATTTCTCTATAAAGAAAGTTTTAGTAGGGCACCAATGGCTCATGCCTTGTAATCCTAGCTACTCAGGAGGCAGAGATCTGGAGGATCTTAGGTAGAAACCAGCCCCAGAAAAAGATTTTGCAAGACCCAATCTCAGAAAAAAAGGATGGCAGTATGACTCAAGTGATAGAGCACTTGCCTAGCAAGCCTGAGGCCCTGAGTTCAAACTCCAGTACTGCCCAAAAAAGGAAAGTTTTCACATTTACAGAGGCAAATCTGTCTTTTCCTTTCTAGTAAGAAAGTCTTCCCAACCCCAAAATTAGAAAAATAATGTACATTTTTATGGTTTTACTTTTTTGTAATTGGTCTAGAATTAATTTTTGTGTTTATGATGTAAAAATTTAACTAGTCTTTGTGGATAGCCACAGCCTCAGCCACACTTGGTCAAAGTTAAGCCTTCCCCCACTGATTTCTGTCCCTGGCAAGTGTCTGTGTCTACACGTGAACTTGTTTCCCAGGGTTTTGCTCTATGCCGTGAGCAGTGTCCTTGTCCTAGTAACTTCAGCTTCAACTTGCAGAGCATCTTTTCTGTCATAGTATGAATCCCTCTTACTTTCTTGTTTCCCCCACATTTTTTCAGCCATTTTTGGGCTGAACCTTAAAATGAACTTCTCAAGGGCCCCCTCCCAGATATCTGTGCTAGTTTTTCATCGCTGTGATAAACAGGTGTTTGCTTTGGTAGCACACACACTAAAATTGGAATGATACAGAGAATATTAGCATCACCCCTGCACAAGGGTGACACACAAATCAATGTATCATTCCATAGTATTGACTGAATTGAAACCTCCTGTGTAGTGTCCTCATGATCTAGTCACCTCTCCCTAGCACCTCCACCTAGGGACCAAGTTACATGAGCCTTTTGGAGGGATGCTTCATATCCAAATCATAACAGGATCATTCTAGAAATTACATTGAATACAGAAAGTAATTTGTATACTACATTTTGGTCAGTAGTATATATATAATCATCTTGAACCTCATTATTTTAATGTTCCTTTTCTATCTTCCTTGGCTATAGTAAGCTATTAACTGAGTTTCTTACTAAAATCCCCTCAAGTGAAAAGGGTTACTTACGTTCATCCTTTCTAAAACATAGACCATCTGTCCCTAGGCCCTTGGACTGGACAGTGCCAATGAGAAAGGCTTGTACAGAAGGGGTGAAGCCCAGCTGCTCATGAACGAATTTGAGTCAGCCAAGGGTGACTTTGAGAAAGTGTTGGAGGTGAATCCCCAGAACAAGGCGGCAAGATTACAGATATCCATGTGCCAGAAAAAGGCGAAGGAGCACAACGAGCGGGACCGCAGGATCTACGCCAACATGTTCAAGAAGTTTGCAGAGCAGGACGCAAAGGTGTGTGCAGAGCCTGACTCATTCGGCAGCTGAGACCTAAGCTAGCCACTTTGGTTTTGGTTCTCAGGTTCAGGTAGACAACCCAGAGCCCCACTCCGATCTGAGGCTGCTTTGGCTCCGGGGCTCATGTGAAGCTGTCCATCTGACCAGAGGTACTGTCTGTGAGGAAAATAAATTCCCCTGAGATGTGCTAAATAAAGCTTTTGTTACTTGAAAAAAAAAAAAACCCATCAGGTTGTTGTTTTATTTTGTTTTTCCCAAGTAATATTTCCTTGTTGAAACTTCGAGTTTTTCCAGGAAATGGTTGTTAATAGCAGCCTCATTATTATTCCCTTGATCTTCAGAGTGGAAGCCAAGCTGCAAGTGAGCTAGGAAAGGTCTGACTGAAGAGAGGCCAGCCTCCTGACGCTGCAGTCCCATCCAGCCTCCACGCACCAGCCCCCACACACATGGATTTCATTATGCAACAGCAGCCTCGTGCAGCATGCCTCGTCATTTTAACCAAAGAAAAGGGAAAGCCCAGCTCAAATTATCACCAACACAGCCTCATGTACCCAGCTGTGCAACCTAAATCTAATCATTGTAATATGCTGTTGTTTTGGATAGACAAAGCAGTCAGAGAAGCCAGGAATTTATTTCACTTCTTTCTCCTCTAATTGACTTCTTCTTTCTTCCTCAGGAAGAGGCCAGTAAAGCAATGAACAAGAAGAGTTTAGAGGGGGTTGCCACTGAAAAAGGAGCAGAAAGTCAAGCAATGGAGGAAGAGAAAGCTGAAGGCCATGTATGACGCCACGCCTCGGAGGGAAGGGAGTCCTGATGAGCTCGGCCCCTCCTCATTGGACTTTCACCCACCTCAGGACTAAACAGTGTTTAGTGTAAAGTTTGTTATAGTCTATATGATTCTGGAAGCAAATGGCAAAACCAGTAGCTTCCCCAAAACGACCACCCTGCTGCTGCCCAGTGGGTTCATGGAGGGGGTAAGCCTGGGACCACTCCAAATGGAACAGAACAGAAAGGGCTGTTGGTGTGGAGAGACTGCGCCAATAGCTTAAGTCCAGCTCATTTCAGTTTGTGTCAGCTTTCAACACCCAACACATTGTCCCTTGATAATCCTAACAATTGGGGCTGTCTGCTAGGTTTTACATTTGAACCTTAATAGCACTGCAGAAACCTTTAAAAAAAAAAAAAAAAAACAATGTATTTTTCCTTTCCCACAGGCAGGTGAAGCAAGGGGAGGAGGATGAGATTTTGCTTTTAAATGACTCACATGCTATGAATGTAAGGTGCTGTATTTTAACCAACAGGCTCCACAGTAGAGGGGGCTAGGATTCTCTCAGTTCCACAGCAGCATCAGACTTGAAGCCACAACCTCAGAGGCCACTTGCTTGCTGACTTAGCTGCTTCCCAAAGTCCCTTCTCAGCCAGCTCCCTTGCTCGAGTGGCTTTCTGTCACACCCATCCTTTAGGGCAAGGGAGATTCTGTCATTCCTAAATACCCTTCAGCAGTGGTGATGAGCATATGGGAGGTTCTGGATTAGCTGTGTCTGTTTTAGTAAAATTCTGAGATGCCCAAGTGTGAAAAGCAATCAGAATTGTGCTTTTTTTCCCTCCCCTATTCCTTTTAGGAAATTATGTTAACGCACAGTACTTCCTGCTAGCATTGCTACTATTCAATTTCTTGTTTCCTTCAAAGCCTTGCTGTTAAGAATTAAGACTTGTTCTTATGATGTCTCTGGCCTGGAGTGGATTTACTTACATATCCATTTAGAATTGATAGAGCTAATTACTGGCTTATAAACACATGTATACTGGTTTATGAAACTTTACACTCCTATCACGCAAGAATTTGTTTTTCACTTTTTACTATTTAGTAGCTTAATTTAAAAAAAAAAATCTTCATGGTTAAAATATAAGTAGTTACCCTTACATGGAGGGTTTTACCTTTAAAGTTGGCTGGCAGGTGCGTTCCCCCTCATGCGCTGGTAGCCTCTTACTTCTGGTGTGAGCTGTGAAAGTTGAGGACAGCTTCCTGTGCAGGTACACCTAGCCTAAATCTCCAGTACGTGGGCATTGAACCAGGGCACGTCTCAAAACAAATGTGTACGTGTAATTGAACTTTAGTTCTTACGGGTAAATCATTGGGCATGGCTTTCTTTCCCACAGCCTAAGAAACACTCGTGGGAACTTTTCACCTAAACCTGGAACATCTCACTGTCTTAACTCCTGAGGAACAGTGAGAGTTACATTTTACATTAATTTTTATATGGTTTTAACAAGCACCGTCTGTGTTAGGTCAGGCCCTTAAAACCTAAAAGTCAGGTTGTTTCCTTTTATCCCAGTTTGCTTCTCCATGGAACAAACAGAACTAACTTGTGAGTTGTTGTGGGGGTTTTTTTTTTTTTAAGATAACTGAAACCTCTCTAATTGATCATTTACACTTTTGTCTTTTTTTCATGCAGTCTCTTTAAAAAGCCCCACCCTCAGCTAGGAACTATGAAGAGCACCGGTTGATTTTGCTTATTGACCTCACTGTTTAATATTTGTAGCTCTGGTGACTAGAGAGAATATGATTCTCCTGAAGCCAGGACTGAAATTTAACCAGAGCAAGGCCTGCTAGCTTTTTGCAGGCTAACAAACAGGAAAAGTATCCTGGAACTCAGATGACCCCAGCCAGCCACCTCCCAAGTGTGTGTTGTGAGGCTCAGGAGCGTGGGCCGGGGGTGGACAGAGAGAGGCCAGGCCAGAGTGTGTGCAGAGAAGGGGAGTGTGAGGGGTTCCAAGCAAATGACAACAGGTGTCTGTCTCCACTCAAGAACGAAGCTTCACATATTCTTGTACTGAATTCAGTAATTTCAGTTTTCATAGAAGTCAGAAGATGTCCTTGTACCACCTTGTAGACTACATAGAATGGTGAATCAGCCAGCAAACAAGGAATCTAAAAAGTGGTTTTTAAAAAATCATTTAGAAGGTGGGGGAGTGGCTCAAGTGGTAGACTGCCTGCCCTAGCCAGCGCAAGGCCTTGAGGCCTTGAGTTCAAACCCCAGTGCCACCAAGAATAAATAAATAAAAATGAGATCGTTTACATGCACCTCTTGTGTTCCTTCCTCAAATAAATTTTTTAAAAAGTGATTTCCCATTGTTCTTGGTTTTGCTTAAATCGTCTTCAGGGAAAGCTGTTTTAGTTGGAAAACCATGATGGGGACCAGCTAAAAGAAACAAGATGTCAGGAAATTAGCAACAGACGACACTATCCTGCTCAAATAATGGCAAACATTAATAAGTAGATATTCCACCTTTTTAACTGATCTTAAGATAGGTTCCGTTGGGGAAGTGATATTTAATTGTGCCCCTTGATAAGTATATAAAACTTAAGTAAATATCTTGGATGATGATTTGTGTTGAGCATGTTTTTCTTTCTGAAGTAGCACATCGGATCAGATATTCATCCTTAGTCTGCAGGCCTGAGGAGATGATGTCACACACCTGTGAGGCTCACCATCTACACTGCAGAAAGTGGTGTGGTGCACCTTTCTCCCTTTGTCCAGTAGGACCTCTGAGGTGCCTGCAGGTTCTAGGCTCCCTTCACTTCCTCTGAGTTCTTTGTCTCTGGTTTTGAATTAGACTCTTCCCTCTTTGCTGTTAAATTATTCGGTACTGAAATAATGTCTTTTATTTGAATATCTTTTTCTAAGCAAATAATCACACTAGCACTTGAGGATGAGCCAGAATGTCCTGGCTGTGCCTTTGTGACAGATCACACTTCAGAGGCAGCCTGCACACCCTGGGTAGCCTGAGGGTAAGTGACGATTAATTGGTGGCCATGCTCACTCAGGTCTTAGCACTTCTGACTCCCCCTTTAGCTAGATGCTGCATTTGCTAAGAATGTCAGCAGCATTGGTGACAAGATAGATTGAACTGAACTAATTCGTTCACAATCCCAAACTCAAAATACCCCAACCTACCTGTACATTTTTTTCTGTCACCTGGCTACTTGTGTACCTGAGTAGAAGCGACTGGCAAAGTTGGATAAAAGGACATCTAATGGCTGGAGAGGTTTGGGAGGCCCTCTGTGCTTCCCTCTCCCATGTCTGGCATTGCTGTGGGAGGTCAGAGAGGGAGATAAAGAAAAGACAGCCATTTTAACAGCTGTCTCCGTCAGTCTATAATGGCTAGTCTACTAGTGACCTTAATAATACACAGCAAACAAGGAGCATCCCTGAGGTAGCCACTAAGATCTTGGACGGCCTCCTGTTGCAAGTAATTGCTGCCTGTAGTTGAGGCAACTAGAGCAAAACCCATAATACAGGGCTGCTTTGTTTTCTGGGGATGAGGGATTCCTCGAGAATTAGGAAAGGGGAGACCTAGGATGGTGATGGACTGACCTATAGTCACCTGACCCCTTACACAGTCCCACAGGAGGGCTTTTGCTAGTTTAAGGGCTAGTTCTGCTGGTGTCAGGAATGAGATGACAAGGCTTCCTGAGGATCCTTGGGCCTTTGGTGGACTTGAAATGCAGGAGAGCCTGGTGCTGGTGGCTCACGCCTGTAATCCTAGCTACTTAAGAGGCAGAGATCAGAAGGATCAAGGTTCATAAGCCAGACTGGGCAGATAGTTCAAGAGACCATATCTTGAAAATACCTAACACACAAAAAAAAGGGCTGGTGGAGTGGCTCAAGATGTAGGCCCTGAGTTCAAACCACATCACCACAAAAAAACAAAAGAAAAATGCAGGAGAGCCACTTCAGTAAAGCTGATGTGGGGAACTCACCACTGTGTTCCAGTTGGGCATCTCCATTGCTTCCTAAAGCAGGCTCCGGGTAGAATCAAGGAATGTTGGTGTGGGGAGCCCTTTTCTCTAGGTACTAGGAGGACCTCACTGCCTATCACCTTGGAGCCCAGTTGAAGCAAGAAAAGGCAATGCTCTCTGCTAATTTTGAGCAGCTAGTTATATGCCCTCACTTGGAGAGACCCTGCTTTTTTCCTTCTTTGTGGTCCTGAGGATTGAACTCAGGATCTCTGTACTTGAACTACACTCCCAGCCTTTTAGGTTTTATTTTGCTTTTGAGACAGAATCTCATTACCTTTACCCAGGCTGGCCTCTTAACTAGCAATCCTCCTGCCTCCATCTCCTGAGTAGCTGGGATTGTGGACGTGTGCCAACATGCCTGGCTGACCCAATTTTTTTCTTGACATAAACTCAAAGCAAGCAGTAAGATCTTCAGTGTTGCCAGTAATGATAGGAGAGGTAGGGTAGGCATCAGTGCTAAGAACAGTGCATAGGAAAAGATGCCCTGTAGCCACAGACAGAAAGGTAACTGCCACACCCTGATGCCTCCTATGTACCAAGCATGTAAGCCCCTTTCTGCTAAAAAAAGAAAGAATATGCCTGCTATACCATTCCCACCTCCTGAAACACATAAGGTCACATGTTTCAACCCAGAACTAGGCAGAGAAGGAATTCTGGGGCTTATCTTTCCACCTTGCTTCCTTGACAAATTGTGAACGCACACGGTGTCTTGGCCTTTCTCGAGGTATTACATATTTCTTCTGGCCAGGGTCTGCTCGGGCTAGTGTGTCTTCAAGATAACTCCTTGCTGGAGGCATTCTGACTAAACTTAAAGTCCAAGAACGGGTAGTTGAACATATAACTGGGAGATGTGATAATCCAATCCTACTATAGGATCTGATGGTTTTATGGTGTATCTGCTCACAACCATGTGTCCACAGTGGGTTTTTTTGGGTTTTACCCAGATGTATATTATTGCCCTCTGCAGATACCAAAGTCTTCCTGAAGAGGCTGCTGGCCTGGACCAACCACTGAGGGACCCAGAAACCCGTTCATTGCTTCATTCCCTGTCGTCCCCATCCCTAGCTGGTACATAATAGACACTCAATAAATCTGGCTTCCTATCTCTGCTTAATGTAGCAGAGTTAAGCTCTGAATGAATGGCTCAGTAGCCTTTCATTCCTGTCACTTTTCTTGAGATGCAGAGGCCAGAACCATCAGGTACTTACTTGACTTTTGTGGGGGTCAAAACTACAAAATGTGTCTGTGGTCTTTAGGCCATATTGATCTTAAATCTATTTCTGGTCACAACTGATAACAGGTAATCAGCCTAAACAGGTCCTATGTGAAGAGGAGGGGCTTCCTTGGAAGTTCTAGGGCCATGCTAGTGAAGCAGATGCCCTTGTCAGCCAAGTAGCCCCCACCTGCTCAGTGGCC